TCGTGACAATGAATATCTCCTGAAATTTATACGTTTTTTGTGTGTGGGTGTGGATGTGGATGTGGATGTGAGTGTGGGTGTGGGTGTGGGTGTGGGGTGTGGGTGGGTGTGGGTGTGGGGTGTGGGTGAGGATGTGGGTATGGGTGCGGGTTTCGGATGTAGAGATAAGATCCACATCCCACATCCCACACACACACACTCACACCCACATCCACACCCACACCCACATCCACACCCACACCCACACCCACATCCACACACACACCCATACCCACACCCACACCCACCCGCCATCCAAAAACACTCGATTCCCCACTTTGTTGTGCGCTTGATCGCTTTTTCAGCCCAAACATGCGTTAAAACGAATAAAAACGAGAAAAAAGTGATCGTTTTTTTTATTTAAGAAGTTTTATCATGATTCTGTTATAGATAACGACCATAAAATAAACGACCACTTCTTCTCTTTTTTTTATTCATTTAAACGCATGTTTGGGCTGAAAAAGCGATTAAACGCACAAAAAAGTGGGGAAGCGAGTGTTTTTCAATGGCAATCGGGAACCTCGATTGCCATTCAAACACTTCCATTTTTTTCTAGATTTTCAGTCCTTTTTTTGGGCGTTTAAACGCGTTTTTGAAAAACTTTGTCTGTTTGGGATTCTTTTTCATTAAAGCGGTATGGATTGGTTAAGTAAATCATAACCGTCGACTACAACGATTTTGTCTGTTTTGATGGAACTTTATCAAGTAAAATCTCGATGTTATATCTACATATGCATATAACCGAGGAAATAATAGAAAGCCTTTGACTTATTGATATACAGGCTGATTATTTAAGCTTCTGCAAATGAAATTTTTTATACTAAAATTAACACTAACTAGAGAAATTAAAGACTCTAGAATTCAGTATCTATTTGAGGGTATGGGTGTTTGTTGAAGTGCAGATGAAAGCACATTCACACCCACATCCACATTTTGTTTCACACACATTTTCTATTGAAATAGCAGTGAAGGAAGAGATAGATTAGAGCTATACTGGATGCTCATATATGTTTATTCAAACAGTCAATATTTTATTAAATTATGAATTAACTGTTGTCATAATCTTTGAATGAAAAGTGTTTAAGAAACAATTCTTTATCAGGCATAAATTTAACAGCAACTTTTTCGAGCCAATTAATAAAAGTTTCATCATGGTCTTTTACAATGTTGTGTGACAATTCATGGCAAAATACCATGAAATAAAAGTTGACAATTGTATGCACAAGAGGCGTTGATGAAGAAGAAGTTCGCAGAAAAGGTTTCAGTGTATCGGCATGCACTTGTTCGAAATAACGAAGATTAAAGAAAATTGCACCACTTAAATTGAATGCTATTCTAACTAAACAACAAACTGTTTATGAACATTTAAGTACAAATGTATGTGCACTTACTTCCTCTGATGTCTCTAAACATATGTATTGTCTTAATGTTGGTCTTAAAAACTTGAGTAGCAAGACCATTGAGAAGATAAGCGAACTGTCTTGCTTGATCGATCATTGCATTCGTTTCGATCACACCATGCTCAATATATAATGGAATCGAATGAAATACATGCGTTGAACGTTTCATATTCTCAGCAGGAAGTTTTTCACACGCAGTGGTGATTGTTTTCTTAGTGTGTTCTAACTGGGTAAGTTTTGAGTGTTTATAGGGTTGACCGTCATATATCCGTTGCATTTGAGCTTCAGTTCCTTCTCTATTTCTTCCGAAATTGGGCATATTAGGAAGCTCACGGACACTATTGATATGACGAGTAAAATCACCTTCAGCACCTATAATTGGTGGGATTTCATTGCCCACATTCGCAGATTTAATGCCAACATCGACTTTTGTCTTTGGTTCAGTTGTACTAATATTATTGTCGGTATCACTCGCCGTATTTACAGAGGGTGGCATTGGATTAATTTGGTCATCGTTAGTAGGATAAACATGGTTATCCCGCTTTCGAAAGAAAAAGCTTAAAAAAACATTAAATTCGATAAATTAGTCAAAGTTCAATTTTTATTTACTAAGTAGTTGTAGCATAGAATATTACACATTTCTGCAAACCATATCTCGTTTCATTATGTTAGAGCTCGAAAATCACCATTAGTGTTATTCAACGTGTCGATAGAGAACGATAGATAACAGAATCGTATAGAAATTTGATGGCAAATAAAAAAACATAATTGAGTCTAAAGGTTGGCTAATATTCATCTAGCAATAAATATTATTTTCACATGTCCATAGGACAAAACGCCAGATATTTGCAATCCGTCATTTAGCTTTTCCAGTTAAATCATAGAACATCAAACGTAAAGATTGAACTCAAATAATCAGATTGCATAATTTTTCTTCTCATTAATGAAGAAATTGATATGACTCAGCGATAATAATTCTCTTTGATCACTATTATACACCCTTCTTTTTTTTAGAAAGAATGACACAATTTTTGTTTTCCAGTCCTTCTCAACAATTAGAGACCCCATTTTAGGCTCATTCAATACAGAAATTTCTGCTCTTCAAAACGACGGTGTTCGTTTTTCAAAGAGTGTTTCGTTGGCGTCATCAAATTTAAAAACTGACCACCTATTCAATCTTCTAACTGCTGCTATTTCAGATTTTCTGCAGGGATCTATCGATTTGTTTTAAGCCTTTGCTCATCACGATCGATATCAAAAGTAAAGTATTTGCCGTCAATGAATGAAGAATTTTGTGCTCTCCGCTTCTATGATCTTTTCAAGTTTTCGGATGCTGTCATTCAGAAGGAAAACACATTGAATCAACATCTAGTGATAGTATGAGACGTATTTGTGACAAGCACGTTTATTCTGATATCGATGAATATGGAATTTAATTCTAAACAATAATCTTATGATTGTTCAATTGAAGAGTAAAAGCATGAGTTTATATCGAATTAAAAAAAGAACAGTAATCTTACTCTGCTAGAAATGGGTTTTCTGCTTCAAACATTGTCATCGTAAATATATCTTTACATTTGGAATTTCAGCAAAACCTTTATTAAACATTTTTCATTTTTTTCCCATATCAGTTAGGCACGTAAATAAGTGTTCATCTTTTACATTTTTCGCCAACCAAAAGAACTTACTTCAAAAACAAAGACAGTAGTGTTTCAAATGTGCATAAAATAGAGTCTCTAATGTGTGGGAAAAGATCCAAAAAGAAGAAAAACACTGTGGCCCGTTGATTGTGCGTCATCCATCAGTATTGATAGAATCTAGGATTTCCCATTATTTTTGTGTTGCTACATTTTATAAATTATTTTCCTTCAAAAAATGAAAAAAATCTACGTTCAGAATATTTATTGTTTGTTCGTGTATCGCTAATTTGTTTAATTGATGAACTGATATTATCACGATTGAATCGACAGAGGGAAGTAAATACAGAAGTGCTACAATTGATGAATTATTGTGACAAGTCTTTGGGTGTGGATAACTCAGTTGTGAGAGAAGGAATGCCAAAGATGCGATATCTTACACTCGAACGTAAAAATCTTCGACATTAAAAGTGTTGAGAATGTTTTTCTCTTTAAAATTCATATGAAGAATATTTTCATTTAAAAAAAATTGGAAATAAAATCGCCTATCGTTTTAGTTCTGAGAGATTTTTCTCACTTCCCCTCCCATCCAAAAGAAAATATGAACTAAAAATTTCTCTAATCTATCTGCCGATTTTAATTGATTGTCAATGATATGAATCTGATCTCTGCACAAAATAATGTCGTCAAAAATTTCCCAAGAAGACGATCATCAACTCGGTCTGCAAACATTCAAATCACTTTCAAACAAGAAAGAAATGATTATTGTCCTTCTCGTCACCTTCCAGCTTCTTGTCAAAGATCATAATCATTCTGTATGATACTCAAAATCAGATATATTGCTAAAATAATATATATCAAACAACATAGTCTCCCAAACATAGTAGATCTCTTTTGCTTCAATCAGAAATCTTCGTTACATATACGAATACTAACCTTTGTATCCTTTGAAAAAAACTGGTTTTCTTCTCAACAACGGGTGAAGTTTGACGCTGTAAAGATACGTCTAAACGGATCTTCATTCATATTTGCTGCTAAAACGTTTTATTTAGTTTTCCTACCTATTGTCGGTGCAGTTGAAAGCAAGCGAGCAACAGGAATACCTCGTTGTTCAAGCATTTCTAAGGGTAATTCAAGTTTATCTCTGATTTCACACGGGTATTCTACTGATTTGTTGAATGCAAACTGAACAAGTTCACGTGTAATATGATGATAATCCAATGAGACTACATCTTGTCGAAGGTACAATGTCACCTTACTTTTATCATGTTCAAGTATACATGAAGTAGTACTTTGGGGCTAAAATTCACAACGAAATCAAAAGATTGTAAAAGCTCTTATGATGGTTCTTACAGGAAGCTGAAGAGTTTGTTGTTTAAATATCAACGAACATTCAATGGCAGCTACCTCATAAACAGAAAGCGTGGTACGTAACAAGTCCAGATTTTCTCTATTACATTCGGGTAGATTTTCCCCCTAAGAAAAGATTAATTGATACAAAGATAAACGTCAATTATATTATGATACGTACTTTATTATCGACAAACAATATGGGAAATCGATTTTCAATCAATTTTTGCAATTGAGTTGCACGTTGAGAAGTTACTGGTGTGCCTATAAGATTTCAGCTTTAAACAATATTTATGAAAGAATATTTTCAAATGGTCTATTCAGTTTGGTGATAGCTTTTATTCACTTATCTGCAATGTATCATTACACTAGCGTAGCATCCACCATCTATCATGTTTATGTTTAAATCTGATGAATACGATTATATTTTAGTAGACTCCGTTTTTTTTAAGAATTCAATGTTCGAAAAAGATGATAGCAAGAAATCCCAACCTCAAACTTTACCTGTATAGGTACCTTTTGATGCGACTATCTTAATTATAAAATATTCTCAGTTTTACATATTGTGTTGTCAAGGTGAGAATTTTTCAATATGTTTTTTCTCCTGCATAACAGTTCAACAAAAAATGCACAATTATATAACACATACATACCTTGATTATAGGATGTTCAAAGTTAAGAAAACTGTACGTATGAGATGGACTTTTTTGAGGTCGCTGTATCGACTTAAATCTCAGCATGTGCAGATATTTGTTGATATTTAACTACTCCAGTACTTATCTATATGTCAACAAAATGAAAGGACAAACAAAAAGATCATTTGAGAGTACTTTCTGGTAAAAGTGTTTTTAGTATAAAATTCCAAAAGGCATTGATAAAAGTATTACTAACTCATAGGATTGGTCTTATTATTAATGAATCATAGTTCAAATAATTCATTTATGCTAGTTTTTAGGAGAGACTCAATATGATCCGTATAACCGTGGATGATAATTAATCATACCTTTGTGTTTTTTCTTTTCTTGGATACAACCCGATAGCCATTGAGCTCCGAATTGTTCATATAATTTGGGAAATCCTTGTTGTAATGGAGGTAACAATGGTTGAAAATATTTCGAATACACTGAATTATCATCAAGATATATCTTATTTGGATTAACAATTTTAAAATGTTGTTCACTGACACCATTTTTATCAACAATCGTTTGAAAACCCAGACACCATGCATTGGTTCTTAGACGTTTACTTACAAGGTTCTGTTGAAGTTCATTTGAGCAAACAGCAGCAACAGCAAGTTTTTTTAGACAATCGATATAAACATTAATTCTGCTATTCAAAAGATCCTTGTCATTTTCTGCGCTTTTAAAATAAGCAACCTGCCGATCAATGAGAAGTTCAGCAAGAGCTGAAGGTGTTGGATCGTTGCGAACACCAACACGAGAAAGAAATGTGTTGGCAGCGACACCGAAGTCAACATAGTCAATAAGCCCACGTGTATCGATACCGTTGGTTTCAGTAGTAGTCGTTTTACTCGACGTCACATCCGAACGAATGAAAACTTGCGATGGTTTCATCAATATAGTGTCATTTGAATGTCCTAAATGAGTACAATAGAAATGTGAAATCTTTCTAGATATGAACTCTAACCTTGCAGTGGAATGAAATTAAATTGAGATACGTTTGCAATGAACGTGTTGTTTAATCCGTCGAGTTCATTCATATAGGCAAATATTTTTGATGCCGTCTGTTCTGTCAAAAGTTCCGTCGCTTTTTTCATCATAGTATTGAATGCTTGTGGAAGAGATGGATTATCCTTGATGCCAAGCAATGCAATATCAACATGCTTCTGAAATAATTCGATCACGTCGGTTAAGGGACTAGGAAATAATGGGTTTACAACTGTGAATATTTCGTTTGTCGCTAAGAGTATCACATCATTTGCATTAATTTCATTGCTAGTTTTTTCTGGGGGATGCGATGGAAGAAACTTATATTGCCCCAATGAACCAGTCTTCCATGATTTATTATAGTGTTCCGAAAAGTTTTCAACGAAAAACCGAAATGCTCTTGGTATATTATATTTTCCATTAGTATTTTGCTTTTGTATTTCCTCATGATGTTCTTGAATGATTCGCTCGAGAAGTTTTTCCAAATTAGGTACCTCTTGTACGCCAATTTCTTTGAGAAAACTATATTCAGGTGAACGTGGATCGATATCAGGCCAATCAATGCTTGGCAATGTAGTCCATTCGAGTACGATGGCAACAGATGGGAAATGAAGTTCTCTAGGAATATATTTCCGTTTTGTTTTTTCAGTTCCTGCTAATGTTGTGCCTAAATATATAAGGAAACAGCGTTTATATCATTATTTAAACACTAATACTTATGCGCGCACATGCGAGATTTTCAAGTGCTCAATGTACTATACGACCGTATGTATTAGAACACGATTCAAAATGTTGAACTTTGCGTCAAGGTATGATTTGAAATATGAAAGTACTATCCTATGTATATGAATATCATTTTCCCTTAAGTTGGACAGGATCTGTAAGTCAAATATCATCTTTTAGGCAAGTTATTTTGTTTCTGATTCAAATTAGTCATAGGTCACGACTAGAAATGCAATGCTCTTTCTCTTCTTAAGTACACTGAGAAGTGCGTGTCCGTTTTCATATTAGTTATTTGTGGTTCCTGAAGATCAACGATTAGAAATGACCTTGTGTGCTCTAATACTTCTTTAAATTGATATTGCTCAGCGTCAAGAAAAGTCATCTAGACAAATATTTTCGATTCTCTTCTATTATGCTGAGATTTCACTGAAAATTCTTATTAATTTGAAGTCGACTTGTGAATTAAAAATGACTCAAGTTACAAATTTGATATTACTATTGATTGTTTTTGTTTCTTAAAAAACAAACATTTAGCATTTTTGTTGTCATATCATTCTAAAATCCGCCTTTTTAGTGGTTTTCTAGTAAATTCTAATATGAACAAATCTTGGTTTAACGCACCTATCAAAGATGCCTTTGTTTTTAATTCTTTGAAATCTGCTTCACTCAAATTATTTCGTTGTTTTACTAAATCTTGAATGAACGTTTGCAGGATTCCAGAATTATTTGAAACAGCTTGATCACGACCGACCGCATCGATATTTACCGTGCGACAACCAATTTGTTTGAGAAAATAAGTCGAAACCGGATTTTCAACATTTTCGCTTGATTGCTGGTCAGCTATTATATTAAGTTGTACAATAGGTAATTCAGATGAAAGAAGTTCTGATGGAATGAAGGATTTCGACGGTATTTGCATACCTTTTGTTGTCGATATGCATACAGTTTGCGATAAAGTTGTTTTTACTTCATTCCATTCTTCGGGAGATAATTGACTGAGATGAGTTGAAATGAAGCTCAGTAAACATGTACTTATGTACCGATCTTGTAGTAAATGTACAGTACGTGCATCGAAATACAGTTTGATAAGAGCATTTAGCTTCAACGGTACTAATGATAACTGCTTTTCAAGTTGCTCTTTTGAAAGCATAGCAGATATATCTCTTGGCAAAGTATTAGGGGGTATACGTAGCGTTAATGGGATATTTAAAGCATCATAACATTGGACCGTCCGAAATTGTATATCAAGATGAACAACAGGATCATGAAAAGAAACCATATAAAGAATTCTTTGATTGAACCTTTCATCTGCGGTATTATTACTAAATAACCAATCGACTAATTTGATAAACTCACTTTTCGATAGAGGCAATGTGGACACAATCTTTTCGATCATGGATGTGTCGACATAATCGATTAATCCACGTTTTCTTAGAGTTTGAATGAAACCATTTTTAGAAAGTTGAAATGGAACGAGTGGGAGGGATAAAAAGGCATGAATTTGTTTTGATTCTGCCAGAAAAGCTTTTGCTAATAGCACAAGAGTAAGATGGTTGTCGGATGGCTTCTGTTGTACGGGCAAAAGAATATCGCTCTTTGAAGCAAGAAAACCGTCGATAATCGCTTCGCCTGTCAAAAAAAAATACGATGAATAGAACACTAAAAAGAATCCTTTTCAAAAAAACTCGATTTTTGCAATATCCAAATTCTATAATTATGCCTGTATAGAATCTTAAATTTCACAAAAATAACCATTCAAGTAGTACTGAAAGAATGTTTCAGAGAAATAAAACGTATATCGATTCTCTTAGTTTAAAACGTGATGAAGGCATACCGACTACATTGTTTGGCACCGATGGTTGAAATGAATATGAACTGAGAGCAATTAGATAGTCGTCAATTGTTTTCTGAGTGTTATTGGAAATCATAAGCATTTCTCCATCATAGATTCGTCGTGCAATTTGTCCGATTGATGCAAGAAGTTCCCTGTTCCATTTAGCAATATATGGATCTTGTAAATCAATATTTTCACGTTCAATTGTCGGAATTAAATGGGTATAGACATGCATTCCAATGCCTGATGTCTGATGTGTTCCAATACCGATGAATACAAGACCTGATGGAATGATATCACCATTTTCAAACTTCAATGGAATTAACGAATGTAGACTTTCGGTGTTCGGATCACTGTTGACTGGTGATGTTTCTGTCTGTTTTTTAGCAATAAGCTAAAACAATAGGAAGCGATATATATATATATTTATGTATTCTTTAATTTACACATATTTACGGTATCTCGTGCATATAAGAGTTGAATCTGAATATTGGATGGTAAACTTTTTTTCATAATACGTTGAATATGATTATGGAATTCTTTATCAATAGTAACTCCTGCATCGACAGTAACATGATTTAGAGTCAATGAACTACCACCGGTAATAGTAAATGTTTGTTCAGTTTGTACAAATGAATTAAGACTTAACATATTACTAATCGAAGGTTGTTTCTTAAATAGTAACGTGCCTCGAGTAGGTGGCAGTAGTATCTTTGTTTTTTTTACTTCAAAAACTGTACAACAATTGATTTTAACAACAACTTCATTGATATATTTTGTAAATGAGAGTGCTATGTAAAAAAAACAATAAAGGCTATTTATAATACTCAATTGGATCTTTCTGTTTTTACCTTTGGTGAAATAGGTTTTGAGTTGATTGAGATCCATTGTTGGTATAATTTCTTGTGTAGTTGTATTGTTCTTTGTTGTTTGGGCTGATTTAATGTTGTATGCATAGTCTTTTTTCTCCGATGTTTTCATATTGATATCTAAATTTGTGCGAGTGTGTAAGATATGCTTACTTCGCATTTGGAGAATAACCGAAGTTAATTTTGATTGTTGTTCGACAGATAGTTGATCACGATATGTTGTCAATGAATTATCATCTCGCCAGACAAATGTCATGCATTCATTTCCAGATGTAATTATTGGTTCTTCAGCAAAAGAAAACACAGAGAAAAATCCAACGCCAAATTGTCCAACTGAATCAACATTGGTATTTCCTTCAGCGATAGATGCTACACGTTTCCAATCAGTCTCATTAAATAAAATACCATTGTTGACTGCACGAATTTCTGTTATTGAACTGTTATGAAACTTCAATGCCATGTTCGACAACAATAGTGATTCATTTTCAGATGCTGATTTCTCTGGTCCTGATGTGGTTTTGGTTTTAGCTGAGGACATCCAAATTTGTGTCTTGTCTGTCGTCACATCACTGGTATTTGACTGTTTGATTGGTGTTGATTGCATATCCAAAGCAATGTTCGAAGTTTCACATGTTATTTCAAAAAGAAACAATGTTGCTTGAGCATCATCAGCATTCTGAATAAGTTCACGACAAACAACGAAATCAGATGAATAACGAGCAAGCATTTTATCTATTAGCATTCTTTGATTAACTTCGACACGTTGCTCACGACCGTTCTGTTGCGCTCTCATTCGAAGAGCATCTGATGATATGGCGTTGACCGTCGTAATCGACATGATTTACGTCCTTTTTTAAGGATATCTGAAAGAAAATGTGTGCTTGTTATTCACATGAAACAAAGTGTTCTTCTCGATCAATAACACTCTTAACAGATCAAAGCCAAAAGTGAACAATCAAGAGAACCAAATTGCTACAGCCCGTTTTCCAAAATCAGTAGTAATGCTAATAAGTCTTTAAATCTCACAGGCAGCAATCGACACGTTAATTTATCAATCACAAAAATTCTATCGTCGAAAATCTTCAAGAATGTATGAAAGACATTTAAAGAAAATGTGTTGACGATATTTAATTATAATTCAGTTGAATACTAGCAGAATTAAATAACGATTGAAGAGATAAAAATACAGGTTACCTGTTGCAATGAGAACCAAAAGAGTAAGATTTAGTTTTAGTATTTACAGAGAACTATTCCGTTCAAACAAGTGTACGTGCGAAATACAGATTAACAATCTTCATTTAGCAAATACAGGTTTCAATACGAACCAGATACTACTTTATGATTCAAATAGGCAAATCCATCACAATGATATTTTTTTTCTGTATGAGAGATGAGTTAGAAACTCGTTGGTTTTGGTTTGTAGTTAGCATTGTGTAAGAAGATCTTGTTCTTGAACCTACATAAATAGATGCATGATATAATTGCTTCAATGAACAAAGAGAGAAAATTCGATTCTGTATTGATAATATATTATCCATTGATTTTTGATGAAAAGTTTTCAAAACATTATTCAAATCACTGATTATCATAGTGAATAGAGTAATAGCAATTGTGTTACGTATCATTGTAGAGAGAGTGATATTTATCGTTCGTACTTGATTCACTAAAGCAACACTTCTGCAATCGACAAATAAAGAAAACATCTATGAATGGTAGAACGAAAAAAATGGAGCACCATTAGAAACAATCAAGAAATCTCTTATTCAGGAATATTATTCGACAGCATTAATTGCTTATTCTATGAATAAATAAGTTCTAGAATAAATGCATGAGGCACTAGAAAAGATTTTTCGCCCAATTTGAGTTCAAGCATTCTGGTATAATGCTTAGATATATTTAGGATTACGTGCAAAATTTCAGACTTTTAAGTCTTATACTTTGCAGTGGTCCGTCATTTCTTTTACGCTGCAATGTAAAGCATATGCTAATTGTGTACTTTTTGCTTCAAAATAAGCAGTATTCTGAGCGACCAATTCTCGACCCTACGAAAAATACTCCAGAGAATTTTTCTTTTTTTGAGAAGAAAAAGGACGCAATTAAAATAAACTGTTGTTCGCAAATTGTAGAGCTTCTCTCTTTTTTTTCGAAAAAAATCGTATTGCCGGGTGATGAAAAGATGAAATACAAAAAAACGGAAGTCCTTGTTAGTGTAGAATTTTTGCAGCCTCGAAATCGATCACTCATAATTTTGCTTTTCCTCAATAACAAAAGTTTCATATATAATATAACACCCAAATTTAATAAATGATGATGCTACTACTGTTGGTTCGTTGACCATTCTATAACATTATTCAAAAGAAAACATGCACACTGTCAATGTATTCAACAAACTATTTTCTAACTCAAAAACGAAAACGAATTTGAAGTATGTGTAAACATTTTCTTTTTTCTTTCTACAGTAATGCTGACTAAAACTGCCATACAAGAGCGGAGAAAAAATGATGTCTCTACTGAATTGCAGTTGGTTATTAACCTTACTGTAGAGAGAAAAACGAAAATGTTTACACATGATTCGAACTGTTTTTATTTTTGAGTTTGAAAATGGTGTGCTGAATACATTGACAGTTTAAACGTTTTCTTTTGAATGAAGTAACAGAAGGGTAAACGAACTCATATTATTAGTATTGTATTCATTTTACACTTAACTCATATCATGTGTCTCCTTTTTTATTAGGCCACGATGTTTTCCATATGAGTGTTTTTCTTGTTGCTAAATAAGAAAAGCATTGGCATAACAAGTCATAGAAAGATTCTTTATTATACATTTTCAAATATTTCTTGGTCTTCGTCAGTGTTCTACCACAATAGAAATTTTCACTATTATTCGAGTCGATACTTTCTGACTTTTTAAACTGGTCAATATACATTTCTTGTTGTCAAGAATTTGACTCAATATTTTTATCGTTATTATATTGTTTCGGTAATAGACTATTTTGATTTGTGACTTTCATATAGAAAATAGAAGTTTTTCGATAAGTTGTATGGATTTTTACAGAGATGGATAGCTAGCTATAGGATATACATTAGAGTCCTACAGCCTTATCCTAGGATTGGGCTAGGATACCATTTTCAAAAACTGTATGGTACTTCAGAGTAAACTTTCTATTATGTCAATGTGATTTATTGTAAACGCCCGACGTCTGTTGACCTCTACCATCGAACAATATCTTCTATTCGTAGGTAAATAATGAGAAAATACCCACTGAATGATTGCTTCGAGTCATTCAAAAGTAAATACCAACAGCTGGATTTGTCTTTCTTTTTTTTTCTTTGTCGATATTGTTTTTAATATCCGTGATCGATGTAAATTCATCTCCATAATAAAAGACCCCCATTGAAGAAATACTTAGCCGGGAATTTTAAAATAATCAGGTTAGCCTTATCTCTGGACTTTTAAAAACTTGACAATCTCTTTCCAAGTCCTCGAAATCGTTGTGGTCGTCCGAAGAACCTCTTTAATTAAAAATTATGATCATTCCTGAAAACTTTTCATGCTTTGATATAATAGAAGATCAGATGCCGTCTAATGCGTAGGGGATGTAGTATCCTTTTTCTTGTTTTTGTATTGATAATATTCGTGGTCCGTGCAGTACTATTTTTTTGTGCATATATTCTTGACATTTGCAAAATTTAACTTCATCATTTGATAAATAAATGAAGAACTGATGCACGGTAATACGGTAATTGTATTTTTTGAATTTAGTAGGATAGGATAAGGTAACAAAATTCATACCCTTGCAGGAGTCTAACATACACATATTAGGTTCTATGACAGCTTAACTCTTCCTTTGTTCTTACATCTTCTCCTATCAATGTGTATTTCTCGAGAAACAAAAAAAAGGAAATTCAAGGATTACCTTCAAAACTAATGGTCTTTATTGTGCACATTTTCCAAATGAGTCTTTTTAAAGTGATACTGGTTGAAGATCACTTATCTGAATGCTTCGTTTCTACTAGAACACTGAATGGGTGACAAAGTCATGAGTTATATGTCCTAGGTCAATCCTATCTCACTGCAAGCTCTTATTGGGAAAGCCGATCAGTCATGAAGAATGCACCCGTCTGCGGAAGCGATCGATCGGAGAAACTTTTAAAAATTTTTGACAAATAGTTTCTCCTAGGGATATTTTTTTTTAATTTTCCGAACAAATCTCAATTTTTGCTTGGATGTTATAACGAGGAAAAATGATTCCAAAAGATGTTTATCGTGTGTGGAAATTTTTCATTTGATTGGCAGATTCTGTACACACATCTGATGCTAATAGCACCACATCAGATGATATAGATTTTTGTGTCCATCAAAAGAAACAAAACCGATGAAGATCATTCGATCAATTACGAATCTAATACAAAAGCATATTTTTGCAGAAAATGAGACGATTTTGAAAAAAAATCTAAAACAGAATAGTTGGAAAAAATGAAATAAAAATGCAGATGACCATTGATCCATATCAGAGACTATTCATCTCAATACGTTGACAAATATTACTTAAGTAATTTTATTTTCTTACTTATTGAATCATATTTCGATGATGCAGATGATTATCAAATAAATAGTTCAGATTACTGATCATGCAATTTTTCACGTTTTTCTTCAGTACTTATTGAATGTGATCATTATGCAGGTTAAGTGAAAATGATTGCTATTGAAAAGAAAAACAGCAACATATATCGTTGTCAACGAGAGCACGGTAGTAAATAAGTTGCAGTGATGACGAATCATTCATCATACTCTTCCGTTTATGAAGCCATGCAAGATTAGTAATAGGAAAATAAAATGTTTTTGTTGTGACAAACGTCAGTGGAGAATAGGATGGCATATTTACTTTACTTTTTATTTAGGTAACTATAGTAAAGTAACTATTTTAGTTACTAGTTACTTTTGTAAAGTAACTACTTTAGTTACATAGTTACTTTTGTAAAGTAACTACTTTAGTTACATAGTTACTTTTGTAAAGTAACTACTTTAGTTACGTAGTTACTTTTGTAAAGTAACTATTTTAGTTACTAGTTACTTTTGTAAAGTAACTACTATAGTTACTTAGTTACTTTTGTAAAGTAACTACTATAGTTACTTAGTTACTTTTGTAAAGTAACTACTTTAGTTACGTAGTTACTTTTGTAAAGTAACTACTTTTTTTCTGTATTTATATTGAAACAGTAACTAAAGTAGTTACCTAGTTAGCACTACAGTAAAGACAAAATTTCATTCTATAACACGACTGGATGAATAATTTAGTTATTAGTAGGTCGCCTAACGAAACGTTGTAGAAAAATCAGTATACTTCAGGTTTCTAAAATTTTGATTTGGAAATTTTGTTCAACTTACATCAATAGAAATTTTATTTTAAAATCGAATTGAACAAAATTTACAGATTTTCCTAGATTTTTTCAATCCAATTTAGTTCTTGAGTGTCTTAAAGTATTTATGAGACCAACATAACTAAACTCACGAATAGGGAACTGCTTTCAGCTCCATTGACACTAAGTCATACATGAGCATACTATGTGAGAGCTCATTTCAACTCAACCTATAAATTGGGAAGAAACTTATTTAATTGAACTTAATTGAATTTGGATTGTGTATTTTTGAATTAGGCTCCCAAGTTGTTGCTCTTGAAGCAAAACTCTTCCAGTTTGATTCGAAAAATCTGAAGATAAGTTTTCCATATTTTCCATAAAATCTCCGTGACAATTTTCGTCTAAATTTAGGCTTCATTGTTTCATGACTTGCGATCTAATTAGAAAGGACTAAGTATTGCTTTTCTTCACTCGAGTATTAACGTTCAGTTCAACTTTTTATTTCATGTTAGATAAACGGTATTTTTCACAACAAAGTAGATATTATGAGTAATAGGAACAATAAAGCACAAAAGAGAAGAAAACACTTAGAAAATTACATGGATGAACAGAAAAACAGTCAACTATCACCAATGCCAAAACAATGTGAACAGTTCACATCAGTGACACAATAAAACAGGTAATATTTTATTATTATTAAAATAACAAAGACGAAGTTTCCGAACTAACAGAATATGAGAAAACAACAACTTTCATTTTGATTAGCAAGAACAAGAAAAACGATTACTATCATGTATTGATATAACAGGAATAATATCAATAACAAAAAAAACACTTCTTTAGATAACTGAATGAAATAAGATATAGTACATTATGTGTAAAAACAATGTGCATATTACTATTGTAAAAAAAAGTCACCAATGATTAAACTTAGTCATATTTTTTGGTTGTGTCAGAAATACAAGATTATTGAATTTTTATTCTTAAAACTAAATACATACTATACAAGGATTCACACTTCTGATTATAATATAAAAAGTAAATATTTTTGCCGAATCGTAAAACAATTTGCAACTTTTTAATTATGATCAATAGCGTCAGTCTTTGAATAAAATATACTCAATCTTGAAGAATAAGAATTTAATGATCTTGCATCTCTGATAAAAAAAAAGATGACTAAGTCAAATCAATAGTGAAGTCATTCACAAGAGTAATCTGCTCATCATTTCTTCAACATATTTTACATCCGACAAAACGAAAAACAACAAAAACAAAAACAAGAGAAATATTGAAAATAATTCAATATTTTTGTTCAAGTTTGTCCAGAAGATGACGGTTCTTTAAGATTAGCAAGTATCGAAGTGTACGAGATGATAGCGCCGATCGATGTTTTCTATTAAGAAAACTAGCAGTACTAAATAATGCTTCACTGGCAACAGATGTAGCTGGAATAATATTAATTCTTCTCACGAGACGGGAAAGTCGTGGAAATGACTTTTCGTGAGATACCCAGAACTCTTGAAAATTTACATCAGATTGTGTTGCTTCGATATAACCACTAATTTCTTCATCAAGTGTCATTGATCTTGTAGATACTGTTGTTGTCGCAACTGGTACTGCTTGACCACATATCATCGCTAGTTTTTGAAGTGGATTTGAAATACTTGTATTTGCAGTTGTTCTTTGTGTTGAAAATGATGGTATAATGATACTGCTAGCAGCTACATTCTTAAGTTTTTTGAAAATGACCTTCTTGGCCGACTTTCGATCATCATCAGTTAATAGTTTGTATATCACAGGATCCAAAAATGCAGCAATCTAAACTTACAAAAAGAATTGTACAAAACTGCAAATATAATTAATAGATAAAAAGCATAATTTTCAAGTCTCGTTTCAATTATGGAGAAACATGAGCAGTTACATTCTTGAATTTTATTTCCAATCAATACATATTTGAAAATATAAGACGAGTGATTCTTTGGTAATAATAGTTTTACCTAAGATGATAATTATATAGAGCGAACAATAGTCCTCATGGATCGAATCCGTAATGGTTTAAGGCAAGACTGCTTGACATGATTTTTTCTTAAAGAACCAATCAAATATCTAACTAAGAAAATCTTGGAAAGATGAGCAAGGAGACTGAAGTCATATACTCAGCTTTGTTGCACTACATTCATACATACTTCGACCTCTATTTATATCGAACTGGCACCTTGATTTTCTTACACGGTTAATGCTAAGAATGATTTTTCGTATAATAATGGATCATGATTAGAAAGCCTCGTTCAATGTAATAGCATATATAATGTTTAACTTAGCTTCAATATATAGCTGGATGCCAATCCAAAGGTTTACTTGAACATGAGTTCGCAAAAAGAATTAAAAACCTTCCAGATAAAGGTGATGCAAAAATGCTTACTTGCATTATTTCCAATTGACCTGGTGGTAATTTACTGTTGCAGTACAAATTGAATTGAAATCGAAGACTTTCTTTTAAAGCTACAATTGTAGGCTCATCATCTGATGTCGTGTTAAGAAAACGTAATAATAAACGCCAAATGTGGAATGATGAAGCAATTGTTGGGTAATGTTGCCCTGAAAGTATAGTCGTTGACACTGAAAATGGCTCTAGAACTTGTTGTAAGTTAACCAACATATCCCATTCATTTTGCTTGATTGTTAATTCATGAAGTTTTTTCTTTTCTTTTTCCGCCAATTCATTTAAGTTATTCGGAAAGGAAAAAATATTTTTAACAATATCTTTATGCATTACTAGACGATCAAGGAGTAAACATGAACTATTCCACCGTATCATCATATCAAGTACAAGCCCACCAATTTTTTGTCCACCAATATTTTGTGCATTCTTTTTTGCTTTAATTTGTTTAAGAACATATTCATTGGTAATATTATGGTTTCGAATAAATTTAATTGCAGCTCTAATTTTTTTCATCAAATGAAATATTGACGTGAGTAATTCATAATGATCAATAGAAGATGTTTTATTATCATGGATGATAAGTGATGAGAAGCTAATATCATCATCAGAGTTACTTTCAAACTCGTCACTACTACTATCATCACGGCTTGTATCATTATTTTGATTTGAATCATCATCATCACCTTCTTCGTCTTCATCACTTATTAAATTGGAAGCTGCATCAATTAAATTTTCATTAACATCAATGGCATCATCATCATCGATATCGTCAATATCTTCCCATTCATCAGAATGAGAGCCAGAATCCAATGGAAAACTAAAAGAAGAAACACAATATTGTTCAAAAATCTTACGCATCCTTCAGATTGTAATAGTATGCCCATTTTATAAAAGCTGAGCAGCACACCTTGGTACGATTGAGACTCTCAGAAAATGTTAAAGCAACATTGATGCTGGGGTCTATTTGTCAAGCACATTGATTTTCAGATCCCACAAATAACATACATAGTTAATTAACGTCCATGTGAAAGAATCCTCTCTTATGAATAAAGAATATAAATTATAAAGTTAAAAATCCAATCAATGAAAGCATTCATTCATTGAAAGCTTATAAATATCATTGTTTTGATATCTAAGAGACTTCCTAAATAGGTTTTTTGATTCATATGCAGGAAAATAATAAATAATCTTATGCATAAATTTCTAGACTGTCACAGTAAGTAATAAATTATTTGATTTAAATTCTTCTTTGAGAGAAAAATAGCAAATTTTCTTGAGCTGAAGACTTCATGAAATTTGAAGAGTCTTCAAATTGTTTGCTTAAAAAATTCAAGTTTTGAAACTCAACTACAACGTTTCAAAGAATTGTATAAGACCTCAACGTATTTCGAAAACTATAGCTTCATTGGTTCAATAGATTTGTGAAAATTTTTAAGACTTCAAGGAACTACAAAAAACTTCGTCGAATTCTTACAGAGCTCAATATATGTCAAATGTTGTATAATTACGTCTTCAAATAATTTTCAGAAATTTCACAAGAAATTGTGAAATTAATAGGATATACAGAACTTTTAAATAATGTTTATTAGTTTCTTAAGACCTAATGATATTTTAAATGACATCGCACGATTTCAAATCTTCATGAAACTTCAAGACAGGAGTCTGCTACTTTATTCTCGCTCTCACTTTCTTACTGTCTATAGTTTCATCTAAAAAGACAACATAAATATGTTATTAAAAAATCTAATCGCAAGCATGGAATAAAAAAATTTCATTCATTATTTTGAAATCATGGGACATCTTAAAATTCATATACTATTAAGAACACTTTTTAATCAACACATGAACGCAGCAGACAAATTCAGCTTTAATAAATTTTGGTTTCGAATAAACGAGAGTGATTGAAATTTAGTTCAAAGCTTGGATACAGAGATAATAATATTTTACAGATCAGAATGGCAACTAGTTGCTAGGTACAGTCATGATTTTTTTCTTCTTAAACATCTGGGCTGATACCTTATTGAATTTTAAAAGTCCAAATATGTCCTCAATACTGGTTAGATCACTGCGCTTTTGAATCTGTCATAAATTATTCAAATTAACAGCAACTGACAAATGAAGCACAAATATAATTATCCTTTGACTTAAATATTTTCAACATTCCTTTTTTTGTTGAATTTTCTTTCCGTAGGGCATTTATCTTTCAATGTGGTCTTCATTGAATATTTAACTTGATATACTCGTTTATGATGGATGATATATCGTAAACAGTTTCGTAAGGAATCGTAAAAACCAAACACTTCGTTTCAGAACACAATTAAAATTAAAATCAATGGTTAAGTGCATTTGGACGCAAAGCTAAAATATTTCTCTCAAAAGATATAGCTAAGACTTTGTTACAGAAGAACCGACGAATACTTGATTAGAATAATTCTTTATAAATACCAATCAGGGCAAACAATCAAACATTAAGATCTAACAAAAATCCGTCACTAATCTTGTAGGATCAGACGAAAATCGTACAGAATATCATAGTTTCAGAGATTTAACATCAATTTCTACAATAAGATTTCTGAAAGATCTTGAAGTTTTCTATGATTTCAATATAAAATTATAGAAAATCTTATGCAATGAGATCCTTCAAGGGTATATATATCACGAGTTAGTGTAAGGTTTCTGAAACTACGATTTTTTGTGAGACCTCACATGCTCTTACAAGGTCCTACGGCCGATTTTTCAATCTTGGCAGGCGTTATACATTTGCCATTTATTTCTATATATACGTAATCAAGTATGATCTTGAATGCTTATCTAGTTTTGTTTTTCATAGTAGCCTTTCCAAAAATGTTCCTATTTTCGGCAATAGAAAATCAAATGTCGTTTCTCAGCCAGTTATTGTTTCATCAATAAAGTTCTCAGCTTCATTCGAGAAGTAAGTAATTTTTCGACATTTCTTTCTGAAATATTTGTTTCCTAGAAAAACAAAATACATAGCACCCATTCCAATATTAGGTTAAATTGCTGCTTTCTTAAAAAAGATCGTTTTTTAGATTTCATGCAATATTTTCCACTTATTTTTCATTCTTTATGATGGATATGTTGTTCGCATCAATCTATAGTGCGATATTATGCCTTATTTACTATATCTCCAATCATATGTTGCACTTTTTCAATGCAGAAAATATTTGTTTGCGAGAGCAAACACCCCATATTGAATTTTTACGAATCTGGAAATTTGATATGAATAAGTCATAATGTTTGTTGTTGAGTTGATTGCTTCTCCGAAATCCACTGACTTATCATGATATGTGTAGCTCTTTGAAAATCTGATGCGATTGTATTGCTATAGTAAAATTTTTTTTCACAAACAGAAGCCTATTAAATCTTACATCATTTGTATTTTGACATGAGTAATTCGACTTTTCACAAGATTGAAATCTATTCTACCGACCAACTTATGAATTTTAGGAATCAGTTATTTAGATCTGAAATATATTCAGAATGTGAATCTTTCTTTATGTATAAGCCAGTCGATTGAGTAAATTAGATCTTCATTTGAAATAACCATGCTATTCATTTATAAATATGCACGTCAAATTTCTTTTTTCATTCTTTTTATTTTTAACATAAGGTGTCAGTATTATTAATATTTCAGTCCGCCTACTACAATCTTTAAATAATTGAACACCATTACTTTTTCATCAATAGTATAGATCCGACGTAAAAGAAACGGTTCTAAAAATAGCAACATTTTTACCTTAAAACAGTGTTAACTAATTTTTTTATTAACAGCGCAAAATACAACCAACATTCATCAAATTTTAGTCAGTTCAGCTCTAAGCTGTCATGATAGAGATAAATATTTAGATGCCATTAGATAGGAACATGATTAAATGAAATACTGCATAGATAGATCGAAAAACTTGATACATAAAAGTGAATCGCTTTCTGAAACAAATTTGTTCGCAATATAAGACCTTATTTTAAAAAATTTTTTTATGCATTAAAAACGAACCATTTGGAGCATGTTGCATTAATCTAATAGAATTCAGTTGATATATGCAAGTTCAGTGACTTTTTTTTACTAAGATTTCAACATATTTTATCTTTACGATATTGTAACTATATGCATCTTTCACTTTAATACAAACCTT